GTTTCCGACATCACAACAAAGACCTTGATTAGCTCTGCACTATCCAAAGAAACATATGCTAAATTTCTTGGTCATAAAACTAGGCAAACTTGTTTTCGAACGACCATTTCAATTGATCTCAGCGCAAATAACAAAGCTCAGAAATCAAAACTTGTAAAGCAGGTTTTTAGTGGAATTAGTCAAAGACTTCGAATTTTTATCATAAAATTTTTGAAAACTTGTCCAGGTTACCTTCCGTCCTTGAGAAAATGATCAAATACTCTTACAACTATTTTAACAAATAAATCATTGATTTGTACTTGATTCCATATTGGATATACAAGCAGACAACACTCATAACATAAACAGAGGACACGACCTGGTCGTGTTAATTGCTGCACAACCAGTATCAATTCAACAGTAAACCACAAATCACCAAAGAATACGATCTAAGATATGTCGATGATCAAAGCATCATGACCAGGTTTAGTGTTACAATTAATTACTTGCAGCAACTCAAACTATCTATCTCGCCATAGGAAACATTTCAGTGTCAATGATCATGCTCACTTCGGCGGAACTATGAGAATCCATGCCTCTACTCATCCTTGAGTTTTCAGACACAAGACACTCTTTTAGTTTGACAACAACCCGGGACATGCTTGGTCGTCTTGCAGAAGAAGGATTTGCACATGACATTGCGAGTTCAAGAGCTCTCCAGGCAGAATGAGAGTCGTAATCCCCTTGAAGGTTTGGATCCATGATACTACTGATATCTCCGCTATTCAGCTCAAACCCAACCCAATGTGTTATGTGAATCTTTGCACGACCTTGGCCAATCACGGGTTCGTTTGTGATCATCTCCAATAGAACAATCCCAAAGCTGTACACATCGCTCTTCTCAGTCAACCGACTTGTACGATAATATCTGCAAGGCAAAACATGGCATATTGTTTGTCTTGACCTTGAACAATATGAATGATGGCAAAAGTTCCGATTAGCATCAACAAAAGCGTAAGAGAATTATCTTAACTCCCAAGAAAAATAAAAGAAACCATTTGGTTAAAGCTGTCGAAGATAAACAACAAATAGATTAGCAAACCCCAAACCGCACACTAAAAGAAAGACTTTGACAAGTCAATGTGTTTTCACTTTTCACCATGCAACAAGAAGAAGAATAATAAAAGTAGCGAATAAATAAGCAAAACCCACAACACACACTAAAAGAAAGACTTTGACAATTCAATGGTGAAAATGAGTGTTCTAGTGGCCAGCTTAACCCAAGGGAAGAATAAACCAAAGGACGATCAATTACATAAAGATGAGTCCAACAAGAGTGTCCTTTCTTTGGTTTGACAGCTCTAACTAGTTTGTGAGTCGATTAAGTTTAGGTAAGGTGCTTAGCCTAATTAGCTCGTGTAAGAGTAGAGATAAGTGAATAAGAAATCACAATCCATTTCATACATATCTCATGTTCAAATCTCTCAAACGAAACATAGCTTAGTAACGGCTGAAATTTTGTGTGAAAGTCTGTCGTCAGAATTCAAAAACATAAATATAGAACACAAACTTGTCGTGATTGCTTGCTGCACAAACTATCTTGCTCCAGGAACCTCCGAAGTGTCCAAGTTAATGGTCATCTCTTGAGATTCCAAGCCTCGGTCTTTACTTATCCTCGAGTTTTCACACACAAGACATTCTTTTAGCTCGATGATGACATGGGACATGGTTGGTCGGTTTGCAGAAAAAGGATCTGTGCATGACATTGCAAGCTCAAGAGCTCTCCATGCAGAATTAGAGTCATAAACCTTGCAAAGGTTTGGATCCATGATCTCATGAATATCACCTCGATCAAGCTTATGGCCAACCCGTTCTGTTATATGAGAGTTTTCAGCGATCACGGGCTGGTTTGTGATCATCTCCAACAACACGACCCCAAAACTGTAGACATCACTCTTCTCACCTAGCCGGCCTGAATTGTAATATCTGCAAGGCAGCAGGTGAGTGAGATATATATATATGATTTGAATTGTCGAAGAAGGAAGTCAGTTTCAACACAATTAGCGTGATGTGATAACTCAAAATACTTACTCGGGATCAAGGTATCCAAGAGTACCAGCAATCACAGTTGACTCATGAGCTTCACCACCTCCAACTTGGAAAGATTTCGAGAGCCCAAAATCGGCAAGTTTGGCCTTGAAATGCTCATCTAGCAATATGTTTGGCGTTTTAACATCTCTATGAACCATTGGCGGTATGCATCCAATATGTAAGTACTCCAATCCTATGCAATTGAGTCATCCATGTCAACAGATTTATCGTAAAAACAAATGAATCAATTCTTGTTCTACTGCCTATAACTTGATACAAACCTAGTGCAGTCTCCAAGGCTATTCGTAGTCGAATACCCCAGTTGATGATGGATTTACCTGCTTTTCCTGTATATAAGATCATTAGATCCTTTCGATTTTTCCAAGTTCCATGAGCATGAGCTAAGCAAGCAATCACTATAAACAGTACCTGACAAATGTTGTTTTAAGTTTCCATTGGGCAGAAACTCATAGACGAGGGCTAAGTGATCACCTTCATAGCAATACCCGACAAGGCTCACCAAATTTGTATGGTGAACTCTAAGAAGAAGATCAACCTAAGGCCCCCCAATTAAGGAAAACAAAGAAATCCATAACTTTGTCATGTTAGAAGCAGATCATATAGTTTGATTCGCAAGGTTACATACATCACTACAAATACCTCTGCTTTGAATTGTTTATAACCTTGAGGTGAAAGCTGAGCGAGTACTTTAACGGCCACTTCGGAACCATTTACAGTACCATGATACACGAAGCCGAACCCTCCTTTACCTAAAACTCTTTGGAAGTTATTTGTCATTTTGATAACCTCTGCATATGTGAACCTTCTGCTTTTCTGATCAAATGTAACATTCACCATTGGCAACCTCGGTGGCAGGTGTAGACCTGTATATCATCAGAATAAGGACGTTTTTTGTAACAAGATTCACAAGGATTTTTAGGTTTTATTAATTGATGCCTCTCTTGCAATTTGCAAATACCTTCTACAGCCGTTGATTTTTTCTTTTGTAGTACAAGAAAAATAACCAATACAGCAATGACAATGGCTGCACAAGCAACTGATGCAACAATTGGCACTAAAACTTTCTTCTTAGGCGGTTTTCTACATGAATCAGAGAGACAGAGCCTTGGGTTTCCTTCAACACTACATCAAGACAAGGGTTACATCAAATGCACAAAAGGGTTGTGGATAATAATAACTGAGAAAAGTTCAGAAATCTATGCGGAAAGTTTCTTACAATAGCTCTAGTCCTTCCCTTTGAAGAGCTTGAGGAATTGAACCATTAAGATTGTTCCCGCTTAAGTTTCTATTAAAAACGACTATGATTTGAAATGGAAATTGATAAGCATTAGAACATCTGTTGAGAAAAACTTACATGACGGACAACGATTTCATGTTGCCTAGAAACTCCGGCACTCCTCCAGTCAAGTTATTATTCGACAAGTCCCTAATGTTAGCAAGAGAGAAAGACATGAAGGTTTATCAAATTTATTCCCATCTATATAATACCAATTTCTCGCCTTCAATTAACAGTCGTAATACTTACAATTTTTCTAGTTGCGTAAGACTCTGAATGGCAGCTGCTATGGTTCCATTTAAACCACTCGAAGACAAGTTTCTAGTGAAATGTTCAAAATCATATTCAAAGTATTAATGATCATATAACTATAAAATCTTGAAGAGTTTGTGAGTGCGTTTGTACAACTATTTCGACTTACAAAGTAGTGATTCTTGGTGGCATGGTTATATCCACGTTGCTGCAGTTTAAGCCTTCCCACCTAAGATGTTGAGGGACGCATGGATCCCCTTACCAGTTAATTCTACTCAATGCATAGGCCGCTGTGATGTTCTTTATAACACCCACTGACATAAAAAGATTACTAACATAAGAAAGCTTAGACCTTACATGCATAACCTGGAAAAGAAAGTCACGTACCATCGTTTTCATCTGTTTCGGACTGCGGAAACTGAATAACTGTGTAGACTTCCAAAGCATTAAGTAGAGGTGGAAGAGTTGATCTGTTGGTTCTTATCAGCTGTATACTACATTCCCCTCCATCGCAAGTTCTTGGTGACTGGCTAAAGACAGTAGTTAACACTAACTTGTTTGGAATTACAGGGCCATAATAATATTTTTCATCGAATAGGATGTTGAATTCCCTGGTTTCATTTGCCTGCAATTCTTGGATCTCAGCAAAGTGTGCGTACAAGTAATATTGGTTATCAGGATTTGCCGAACTCCATTCAATCGTCAATGGTGCACTGGCATTAGTAGGCGTGGCAGCACTTTTTAGCGCGTCTTTTGGTGTAACATATTTGTTGGAATTGATCACATCGTTAGCAGTGGAAACCTGGGTCCATCCACTCTTAAAGCTGGCTCCATACGATACCCACATCTGCAACGAGCTTGATGTTGGGACGTGTAACATCTCTTCCGCTGTACCATTCATGTATGTTTTCAAATCTACCGTGGCCCATAAGTTAGGTCCAATATACAGATCAAACTTTGGCTTAAGGTCAAAACCATCATAGTTTCCATATACAAACCTAGCCACGATCAAATGTGTCCTGCCTTTCTCGACGTTTAGATTGTAACAGTTCCGTATCCCATCTGGAAAATATCTCAACGTCTTGTATGGCTTGGCGTATCCCACAGGATTTTCTCTGATTCGACCGGTTTTCCCGCCACGTATGAACTTTTCATCTGAAGTGAAGATCAGTCTAGTATATGTCTCTTCATAAGGAGACGTTTCATTTGCCGGTAGCCCGCAATCCAAACTGATGAACCCTGTTAACAGAACATGGTAAACATTAATCATTAAAACCAGTTGAGAACCAAAACATTAGTGAAAGAATTTGCCAAGAAAAAAACGTTTGTAGAAGAAGTAGGAAGGATGTATACAGAACAAACAAGAAATCTGATACTACCTTGTTGATCTTGAGCTTGAACAATATGAATGGTGGCCAAAGTTATGAGCACCAATAAAAGCCCACGAGAACTCTCCATGTTCTCTTAACTCCCCAATAAACTAAAATTTTAGAAAACCATTGGCTAGGCTGTGCAAAGATATATAGCGAACAATCAAGCAAAACCCAAATCACACACGAAAAGAAAGACTTTGACAAGTCAATGTATTTTCACCATGCAACCAGAAGAAGAAGAATAAGGGTAGTCAAAAAAAGCAAACTCAAATCGGACAAAAAAAAGAAAGACTTTGTGGAGTCAACGGTGAAAATGAGTAAAGAATTTAGAGAAGAAAACAAGTTCCAACATCACTTTCTAATGGAAAATACGGAGCAGACCAAGAAGCACGTTAAGGAATAAATGGCTACATCAAAGAAGAATCAATTATCTTAGACAAATCAAAGAAGAAA